TTTTTTTAGCTGAGCCATCCTGCCACTTGTTGGCAGCTCAGCGGCAGCTCAGCTCGGGCTGGGCATTGAACCGCTGTTCTCAGAGCTCATACTCTTGAGCAAGCTCTTAACCAACTGAGCCACTTGGCTGGCCCTTAAAACGCTATTTGGAGAGGATGTGTGCATCCACATGTTCATTGCAGCATTATTTACAATGGCCAAGATGTGGAGGCAACCTGGGCGTCCGTTGATGGAAGAATGGATAGAGAGGAGGTGGTACATACATACAATGGAATATTGCTTGGCCAAAGAAAGGAATGTGTTCTTGCCATCTGCAGTGGCATAGATGAACCTGGAGGGTACTGTGCTGAGTGGAGTATGTCAGACAGAGAATAAAAGATACAATGTGATTTCGCTTATATGTGGAATCTAAAGAACAAAATTAACAAACTCATAGATACAGAAAACATTCTGATGGTTGCCAGATGGGAGGGGGTTTAGGGGTATGGGTGAAAAAAAGAGGAAGAGATTAAGAAGTACAAATAGGTTATTACAAAGTAGTTATGGGGATGTAGGGTATAGCATAAAGAATATAGTCAATTATATTGTAATAACTATGTAGGTGTCAGATGGGTACTAGATTTGTTGGGGTGATAGATGGTAGGGGGTTGGGGAGCAGGGTGAAAAAGGTAAAGGGATTAAGAAGCACAAATTGGGGGCCGGCCGAGTGGCTCAGTTGGTTAAGAGTTGGCTTGGGAGCATTAGCTCTGAGCAGCAGGGCCCCAGTTCGGATCCCACATGAGGGCCAGTGATGCTGTGCCCTCTACAGCTAAGGTGAACAACAGCTCAACCTGGAGCTGGGCTGCCGTGGGTCGTCGGCGATGGCTTAGGCTGCAGTGGGGCTGCAGTGGGTTGCTGTAAGCTACCGTGAGTGGCTGGCAGCAGCGTGAGCTGCCGTGAGCTGCCGTGAGCGGCCGTCCAATGGCTGGCGACCAATCTGCCTCAGCCGAGAAAAGTGCAATGATAATACCAACATGGGCCAATGAAGCAACATCCTCCACAACTAGACTGAAGAACAAAAGGACAGCAACTTGTCTGTTCCCCTCCCCCAATTCCCCAATAAAAAACCTTTTAAAAAAAAAAGTACAAATTGGCAGTTACAAAATAGTCATGGGGATGTAAATTAAAGCATAGGGACTATAGTCAATGATATGGTAATAACTATGTATAGTGCTAGCTGGGTACTAGATTAGTCAGGGGGATCACTTCTTAAATTACCGTATTTGCCGGCGTATAAGACGACTGGACGTATAAGACAACCCCTTAACATTTCCACTCAAACTACAGAGTTTGTTATATACTCGCCGTATAAGACTACCCCCTCTTCCGCAC